GTGGGGGGTGGGGGGTGGGGGGGTGGGGAAAGACGAACCTCGAGCGAGTGAAGCTGAAGCCAAGGAAAGACTGTGTTCCAAAGCTCGGGAAGAATCGCGGCGGCATCAGGTCGGCAGATCTCGATGTACATCATGTCGGGCGGGCTAGGTCAGACCGACGGACCCCCTACCCCTACCCGTACCCGAACCCGTACCCCGTCGTTTTTGTGCCGTAGACCGTGCTGTGCTTCATGCTGCTATCGCCGCACGCTGCTACTGCTACTGCTGCTGCCGCCGTGCTGGGGGTGTATGTGTGGGGGGGTTTGTGTGTTCTGAAGAGGAGCTGGCGGCGGTAGTGGGGATAATGCCGTACGCACCTGCTTGGGGAACAGTTTGCTAAAGCGCGACGCGACCAGGGTGCCGTACGAGTGGCCGATGAGGGTGGCGCGGCTGTAGCCCAGCGCTCGCAGCGCCTCCGAAACCGCTGTAGCCATCTCGTCCACGCTAGCGTACAACCGCCGCCACCACATCACACGGGGCCGAGGGGGAAAGAATGCAATGAGGGGTCGCATACACACACACATAGTCAAGAGAGCGGAGTTTTGGGGGCTGTAGCCGCCGCCAGTGTTGTTGTACCGTCCACCGGTGTTGATGCATGATGCAGCCGCTGCCGTACAACCGCTGCCGTGTCGTCGGGTGAAAAGGGGTGGCCCGTCCGGCCGGCCACCACCGCCACCGCCACCATATCGCCACACCGCCAGATGGGAACGCGGAGGCCTTCATTCCTTCGTTCATGCAACCCCCCCTCAGCAACCCCTCATGCAACCCCAGGTCCCACGTGCTGTGCACTGCACACCTCAGCAGCACGGGGGACCTGACTTTGAATAGATGAATAAGCCCTACGAGTATGAACTGGTAGCAGTTCATCTGTTCACGCTCTCACACGTGAATGTGAATAGGAATAGGAATAGGAATAGGAATAGGAATAGGAATAGGAATAGGAATAGGAATAGGAATAGGAATAGGAATAGGAATAGGAATAGGAATAGGAATAGGAATAGGAATAGGAATAGGAATAGGAATAGGAATAGGAATAGGAATAGGAATAGGAATAGGAATAGGAATAGGAATAGGAATAGGAATAGGAATAGGAATAGGAATAGGAATAGGAATAGGAATAGGAATAGGAATAGGAATAGGAATAGGAATAGGAATAGGAATAGGAATAGGAATAGGAATAGGAATAGGAATAGGAATAGGAATAGGAATAGGAATAGGAATAGGAATAGGAATAGGAATAGGAATAGGAATAGGAATAGGAATAGGAATAGGAATAGGAATAGGAATAGGAATAGGAATAGGAATAGGAATAGGAATAGGAATAGGAATAGGAATAGGAATAGGAATAGGAATAGGAATAGGAATAGGAATATGGTTTTGAGGGATGTAGGGCCCTCCCGTCTGCTTTAACCCCCTCCGTCACCCAGATTGAAAGCAATCTGCCCCGCCACCGTCGCACGGACATAATTCTATGCTCATACCTCATATGCGTACATATATACGTACATATATACGTACGTACATACATACCTATATACCATATATACGTACATACATACCTATATACCATATATACATACATACATACCTGGGGACGTGAGGCGTCAGCCGCATGGACACGTGCTTGTACTCCAGGAGCAGCAGCGGCCTGTCGGGACACGCGTACGACAGCTCGTCCAGGAGCTTCTGGTACGGCAGCAGTCCTATGCCGATGCCGTGCAGGAACACTATTGGCGGCTTGGCGCTAGCGGCGGCGGCGGCGGCGGCACTGAGGTGCATCGTTGCCGTTGTCGAGGTTCGCGGTTCCAACCTGCCATTCGACCAGCCGTCGTGCGTCGCCAGCGGATGAGTACGGAGCGCCAGTGAGAAGGTACGGCGGATGACGTCAGCATTGGAAGCTGCGGCAGCCGCCCCGGGTGGTTCGGAGCCAGGTGAAACCGTGGTGACGGCCATATCGGAAGCCGCCAGTGGCGGCGCCGCCACGGTCGCCGCCTCTACCGCGGCGGCAGCACCTGACGGCGCCGTGGCGCTAGCGACACTGGCGGCGGCGCCGCCGCCGACGGCGGCGAATGCAGATGTGGCATCGTACCGGTTTCCACTGACCCGTACATCCAGTTCATATACGGCAAATAACGGATGGACCCACTTGCGGTAACCTGAATGGGCCGAAAGCACCAACGGCAACCAATTACAACGAACCCACCGATAACGAACCAACCGACAACCAGCGGTAAGGAAAAAATCCACATTGCAATGTTGTAATCAAGCGACTGGCGAAAAGGCAGTGTGGGCGAGCTTATCACGGGACTTTAGGGGGATATGCGGCCGACAGACACACCGCCTTGTGTATTCATTCCTGTGGCCTCTGTGTGTGTGTGTGTGTGTGTGTGTGTCAGTCACTCCCCCCCTTTCCTTTCCCGCTCCCCCTGAGCCGCCCCCCCGGCTGACCTCCCGCGAACATCAAATCGAAGCGCTGTACCAGGTAGTTAGTTAAGGAGGTCAGGCAGACAGCTATAGGCAGACAGACATATGGACAGATTATGATATACAGGCTTACGGTGTTGGAAAGCACACACGCACAGACAGAGAATTCGGCAGACAGGGCCTCTAGGTGGCTACAACTCACCGCGCTTAGCCAAGCTAAGCCGCTTCGCGACGCTGAGCAGCTCCGTCAAGCCGTACAGTACGGCAGGTCTGTACGACACCCTCAACGGCTCCCGTAGGTGTGCCATAATGCGGCGGCCTGCCGTACGGCCAGGTGCGAACGGGCAGCCCGCAGCCGCCTCCAGGGCTGCCAATTGGGATTCCAGCGCGGCGGCACCGCCGGGCAGCGCCTCCACCTCAGCGCTGCGTCGTACGGAAGTACGAAAGTACGACGTTACAGTAGAGGTACGGCGGGCGGGAGGTAACGGCTAGTGAAGGGTTGCAACACATGCTAACGAGGGACGCCGACGACAGTGCAGCTCGATGTTGCAGGCAGCGGTAACTGATGCGGTAGCTGTGTATGTATGTGTGTATGTACATATGTGTGTATGTACATATGTGTGTATCTATATATGTGTGTATATGTGTGCTATGTGTTGTGTGCTGCACCACACGTGCCGTGTTGCACACGAGCGACATCCCCCCCATACATACAACACCCCCACACACACTCCCCCTTCCCCTCCCCCCTCACCAGGTGCTCCCCCAGAACGCATACGCCAGGAAGTCCGCCGCATCGCCCCGACGTATCGGGGGGCCTCTACCTCTACCTCGCCGACCCTGGGTGGCAGTGCTGCCTGGGGTGCTGCTGCTGGCACGGGCCGGCGTGCGGGGGTTGGCGGGGGGGTTGGGGGTGGAGCTGGGACTGGGGATGGGGTTGGCGGGGGGGGTGGCGATCGTTGGTAAGGCTGCGGCAGCCGTGGTGGTGGTGGTGGTGGTGGTGGTGTCGGCAGCCGCGTCGCCAGACGCCGGGGTCGTGGAGACGGTGGCGGTGCTGGGAGCAGCAGTAGTAACGTTGTTGTTGTTGTTGTTGTTGTTGTTGTCGATGGTGGTGGTGGTGGTGGTGGTGCGGTCTCTCTCCCCCTCCCCCTCCCCCTCCCCCTCTTGCTCGTCACAACGTCCGCACCGCTCGCCCTTGCGAAGGTGGCGTCGGCGGTGTCGTTGGTGTTGGTGTTGGTGTTGCTGCTGTAGCAGGGGTAGCTGCGCGGGGCTGTCATCATCGCTCCAAAACCAGTCCTGTGGGGGTGGGGGGGGGAGGGAAAGACGAACCACGAACGAGTGAAGCTGCTGGGGGTTGGGGGGTGGGGGTGGGGGTGGGGGTGGCCTGGGGCTGATGGCTCCAATCCAGGCTCGGTCAGTTTGACCTACGAGTCAGTCGGTTTCAGGGCGTTGTGTTGACTTTATCGACTGTTGAGGATACAAGAGAGTGTGTGTGTACGTATATGTGTATGTATGAATGTATGTATGTGGCCTTGAGCACTACGTACTGCCACACCACCCCTCACAAGCAGAATCATCATCTCCACAACCACAACCACGAACCACCAACCACCAACCACCCTCCTCCACTACCCTGCCCCCGGTGTGTGTTGGGGTTTGTGTGTGTGGGAGGGGAGTTGTGGGGAGGAGGTCACCCACCCACCGCCAGGAAGTCCTCCAGAGGCACCCGCCGCAGCAGCCCCGCACGGTTGTGACTGAACAGCCGCCAGAGGGCCTCGGCATCCTCGGGCCGACTTGGGGGGTGGGGAGATTGGAGGGAGGGAGGGAGGAAGGGAGGGAGGGAGGGAGGAGGGAGAGGGAGGTAAGACCAAACACACACGAGGGGGGGAGGACGGGGGAAAGTTACTGAACGGCGCTAGTTGCATGGCATGAAAACGAAGTGAATTGAACAAAAGCAGCCATGGCATACACATCTCCCCACCCCAAACCAACACACACTCGCTCAGCCCCACTCCTGCACCCACTCACCCACCCACCCAAACCCGCACGTCACCCAGCTAAGCTAAGCCCCTTAGCCCACCTGACCTCACTTCTCGCTGTCAGTACGGCAGTGTTGTACTGCACGTAGCGGCCCAGCATCCAGCCGGCGAAGGCCACCTCCACCGCCAATATGACCTGACCCAGGGGACTGCCGGGGCCGCCGCAAACCTGCAAAACACACAAACAAAAGAAGTTCATCACCACCATCACCACCGCCGCCCCTCCCCTCCCCTCCTCCCCACCGCCGCCATCAGCAACCCCGCCACCACCGTCAAGATATCCCCCCCTCGCAGCGGCTAAAAGCTCGGAAAGGGGAAAGGGG